ACAGAGCTCCAGTGTTTCTGAGCACCAGAGGTAGTTAGAGATCTCAATGAGTTGGAGCTTTCGATAGAACACCGGATCCTGCAGCTTCCTCCGCCCACCTCAGCTGCCATAGGCTGGGAGGAAGACTGCAGAGCTGCTACTGGCTGGAAGGACAGCACGGGAGAAGCAGGACACCTGGGACATGGAGGATACATTGCTTTTTTCTGCATTACACTGCTGGCCTCTGTATTCTGCATCACACCACTGGCCTCTGCACTCTGCATTGTTACTGATCTCTGTTCTCTGTGTCACACCACTGACCTGGCGGAGTTAAGGGCGGGGCACGGTAGGGGTCAGGTGGGGCGACTGGTGGCGAGTAACTCTTAAGGCCTGGCTAGTAGCTTAGGACTTGAAATTTTGAGCCCTGATGTAGAATATACCTTTTTTTATGTCAAGATTCAAATACATACAGATAAACTTCAAGCACTATTACTGTTATGGCAATTTTTGCACCAGTAATCTCTAAACCATAAATGGCTATAGTTGGGATACAGCTTATAGTAAAACAAAAAATATAATATGTCTATGTATGTATGTCACAAGGACAAATATAGGATTGTGCTTGATTCGCTTCTTCCCTGGTCATGCAGGCTGGAGAATGACCACTCTGATTCTGGAATAATGTCATTGTTCACTGGAGAAATCCTAGTAGGGATGTTTCGAAGCATGTGGCAGTGATTGGGCAGCTAGAAAGCTGGAAGTGCAAAAGTAAAACTCCTGGAAGTTTGTACCTGCTCGCGCTCCGACTGGCATTACCTATGTCAGTGGCAGCGTAAGAGATAAGATACCTTTTTTCCTGCATGGTAAACTGCTAAAATACTAAATGCACTTATGTTTATTGTAATATTTTGTTTTAAATTGAATTGTAGCATACCAGTCAAGATATACCAATTGTAGTTGTGCTTCAAGCTCAGGGATAATGTTCAAAGGCTAAAGCATATTTATTTATTTTTTTTCCTCTGCCTACAGACACTGTTTGTAATGAAAACAACAAGAAACTTAACCAAAGTTTTGAAAGTGAGTCAAGTAAACGTCAAGCAAATGAAATGACCAATTTTATGGATGATCTGAGCTTGAATTCACCAAAAGAGAGGCCATCTCGCTCAAGGTCCAAGACCCGTTCTATCAAACGCAGGTCTTCAAGTACCTCCAGTAGCTCTAGCACCTCCAGCAGCTCTAGCAGCTCGAGTAGTGGATCCAGCTCTTCATGGTCTTCACAGTCAAGTAGTGGGAGCAGGTCTCGATCTGATTCACGTGATAGAAAATACAAGCATAAAAGAAGCAGGAGGAGCTCCAGATCATATTCTCGTGGCCATTCAAGATCTTACTCGAGAAGCTTCTCCAGAAGTCGTTCTAGATCATACAGCCCACGCCAGAGAAGAAGATATTCATCTGCTTACAGAAGACATTACAGGTCTCCTCCTCGATACAGGTCACGTAGCAGGTCACATTCACGTTCATATTATAGAAGTCGCTATTCAAGAAGCCGCTCTCCATCACATAGTAGAAAATTCTATGGCTTTGTGAGGCGTCCCTACTCTCCTACATTCAGGAGTTGGAGAAGTCGTTCAAGGACCCGTTCTCGCAGCAGAACACCACTGCGCCTAAGTGAGAGAGGTAAGAGACTTAATTTGGGAGAAGCTTTTAATGTTTGACTCCGAAAATAAAGGGATACCAAGTAACACATTCATATTGTATAGACCCTATGTTTTGAATACATTGCAAATAGCTAAGGAAACAGTTGTCAGAATGCACTTCCAGCTATTTGGCAGAACAATCCAAACTTCTAAGTGTGGTTATATATTTGTGCCACATAGGCTGTAGTAATAAGTACAGACTAATAGGCATGTTAGTCTCAATCTATACCAAATGCAGACAATTTCTACAAAGAGTGGAAAGGTTTTTTGAAATACAAAAAATGGGCAAGTAAGTAGCATTTTTAAAGGCCAGTGTTGGCAGCCAGTACAGATTATTACCTAATTCTACCCCTAAACTTATAGGAGGTTATTTGAGCAATTCACTCATAGATTGGCTTATGATCTTGAAATATACGTTGTGCAGCATTGCATGATTGCCTTTTCTCTTTTCCTTGTTGATACCATGCAGTAAAAAAAAAAAATCTTGAGAGGGCAAGTGCTTAAACCTTGCAAGTGTTCCCCTCTAGAGTGAATAAATGGCCAGATAGTTGTGGAATGAGGTGCCAAAGCAGGGGAGGATTGGGTTAGCCTAAAACAAATATTTTGACGGTCTGTACAACTGCTTTTTTTTTTTATTTTGCAGAAAAGTTGAAGTTGTTGGAAATTGCAAAAATGAACGCCTCTAAAGCCCTCGGAAAGGACGTTGAACTACCAGATAGCCTAAAGAAAGTTACAGAGGTTAGTTTAACCGTTTGTGTTTTTTCAGTGTTCAAAGCATCTTGAAACTTAAAAAAAACAAAAACAAATCAGTGATGCTCTTTAATGGCTGCCATATTGATCTGTTCTTTATTTATATTTTGGCTTGCCATCAAACATCGGATGTAGTAACTGGGTTAAAACAGAACTGCAACTGGTACTCTTCCTGTGCTGCCGTTTCTGATGCATCTGTCTCCTGGTTTGAGGCAGCCCAATGATTACTTCAACAGTGCAGGGTCAACTAGTGCAGAAGGCAGTATCTTGACCTTGCATTAGCTGATCCAGCACTACAAATCGTTCTGACAGATGTTGGGAATAGAAGCACCAGACTAAAAGTTTTTTTCTTTATTTAAAATCTGTGGTAATGATTTTCCTCCCCCTTTTCAGATCAGTATGCAGTTTAAATGCCTTTTCTGTTTTCATAGAAAAGAATATGAACACAAGCCTATGAGGATGAGATCCGGGTGGTAATGTTGTGGTTGGACATGGGTACTCGGTATTGGGGTTAAACTGGGAAAAGTATACTGTTGGTACTCCCATTAATGGAACTTCACCCACATGTCTAGGCTGCTTTGTGTGCGTAGACAGCCATTGTCTCTTTTGACCTATGTCCATTTAATGGTTTAAGTATTCCGTTCACCCAGTAGACAAGTTTTCCTGTATAACATCGTAAATTACCAACTTCCATTTTGTTAATGTAAACCAATGCCACTTTGAAATGTGGCATTTTAGGAGGTATATTAAATACAATTATACTTTTAAATTATACTTGTTTCCCCATACCTACACTCCAAAAGATTTTTTTTGGTACAGGTAACCTTCATAATTTATTAACTATGTTCCAGATTAAGAATAAATGGAAGAAGAGGCCTGCATCACTTGCAGATAAGTTATTGTATTGTTCTCAGGTGGTTGTATTTTTCTATTATTTTGACTTGCAATAGTTGTAACATTGTGAACAAAATTTTGCTGAACTACGTATGAATTCCTTGAAGATATGTAAATAATTGAAGAGGCTATCCTAACTGTTTTGTGAGATGAGAATAAAAATGTATTTCACATAAATAACCGGCCCTCTGGCAAAGTTTAAATGGTTTTGCTGTACTCACACCTAATTATTACAATGTGTTTTGTAAGTACTTAGTCATTACATTTAAAGCTGCTCCCTATTTTTTTTTTTGTGCCTAGATTTTTATATTTTTGGAAAGAAAAGCATAAGTTAAATGAACTGGATGTCATAGTTTTTCAGACTGAATTATACCTGGAAATGAAGGCCCTAAAACTTGTTGTGGGTCATCTTTTGTTTGACTTCCTTAGTAGTAATCCTGTTTTGTTTTTTGTTTTTTTTAGCAGTCTAAAACATCAACAGAGGTGGATAAACAAAGAAGTGACAAGTTGCGCAGTTCAAGTGTAAGTATTATATGCATGAAAAACAAGTTTATATGCTTCAGAACTCCCTTGACAAACACTGATCTGATAAAGTCAACAGCGAAGTCTTTAGTTACTTAAAGGGCAAGTTCCCCTCTTCATGAAAAAAAAAATGAAAACTTGAACTAACTCAACACCCTCCCCACTCCCCTGGTCCTTGTTGCACTTGGCTGCTGTGAACACTATCTCCTGCCACCCACACAAGGATGCTACAAAGGGCCCCTATTCAAATCGATCCTTATGGATCCACTTAGGTTTTGGACCCAAGCTTTACAATGGACTTTCAATTATTTTTGACAGTTGAATGGCAGGACCTGCTGTCAACAAATGCCAGAATTTCACTAGGCAATTGAGGTTCTGGCATTTGACAGTTTATTGACCCGGAGTAGAGCCTCTTGTGTCAAAAGGAAGCAGAGCTTAATCCTAGGTAGAAATGAAGGTACTATATACAGCCTAGACTTGGAATTCAAGGGGCGCTACCGAGACAGAAACTAACATAGGTTCTTGCACTTTTAAGGCCCCTTTTACACGGGTGGCATCTGTGCATAATTTCGCAACTGAACCGAGTAGTATGGAGCAGATGTCACTTGTTTTGTGTTATCTGTATCCCTTCAGTTTTTTCCTCCACCTTGTGATAAAGGAAAAACTGAACTAACCGGATCCATGTTCTATGGGCAGTTGGCTGTAAGTGGGCCTGCGTTTGTTTAACCCTTTCGCTGCCAAGGATGTATGGCATACGGACCTACAAAAGTGCTTCCAGCTGGCCAGGTCAGTATGCCATACGGACCTGGCATTTACAGTTCTACTATAAGCTGATGGTCGCTTTAGCGACCATCAGCTTATTTTCAGAAAATATATGGTTTGGGGGGTCTTTTACAAACGCTAGCAACGCAGCAGTTGAAAATCAAATCAATAGGAAAAAATTGCAGAAAATTCAAAAATGGCTTGGCCAGCTGATTTGAAAAATGTTCCGTAGGGCTTGGCAGCAAAAGGGTTAAATCAGATCTGTCACGGTCAGGTCTACTAAAATGGAATTTTCATTTTGTGGGTTTTTTGGTCCTAGGCTGATTCAGGAGTAATTGGCTTCCCATAGAGTTGCATTGGGTTTCCGATCAGATCCACCTGAAAAACTGATAGTTGGGTCTGATTGAGCTGTTCCTGTGACAGGAGTCTTAAGGTGACCACACACCTTGCGATAATCGCGGGAAATCCTGCGATCGTACGATTATCATAAGGTGTGTGGAAGCCGTGCGACCTCTACTACTGTAAGGTCGCACGACTTTTATCTTAGGCACATGTTCGAAAACCCGCCGAGCATCGTACGATGTTCGGCGGGTGTGTAGCATGTTCGTAAGATAAAAGCCGGACGGGCCGGTGTGCGCAAGTGCACACTGCCTGTTCGGCATTGCGGTCATCGGAAGCCCGCCCCTCAGGGAGGCGCGGCTTGCAATCATCGCAAGTACGATCTGCCTGTCCAAGATAGGCAGATCGTACGTTTTTTAAATTACCTTACAACTATCGCAAGACAAAAGTCTTGCGATGGTTGTAAGGTGTGTGCCCAGCTTTGCACAACTTTATTTTTTTTTGGCCTGGTTCACTCAAAATGTGTCCCCCCACTTGCTGAAAACTGTAAAGGTCACCACTTTTTATTTTTTTTTTTTCTCTTTTCCCCACAGGGTTCTGGAACTGCGTCAGAAGTGAGAGAAGATGTGATCAAAATACAAACGGAGACCAAGCATTGGAGTAAATACTCTCTGTGGCGTCCAGTGACCAGTGAAGCCGCAACTTTCTCCACAAGCTTACCCTCAAAAGAGGCCCATAAAAGCAGGGCTCGATAGCCTGTATTTTTCCGGCGTCTCAGTATACCGCGAGCTGTAGCTCGCGGTATACTGAGCGTAGGGTAAAGGGAGGACGCTAGTTTGTGTCCTCCCGTTACCCTAAGGAGAACTATGAGGAAAAACACTGACCCCCATAGTTCTCCTTTTAATGTGCAGGGTTTTTCTATGGTTTTATTTTCTTGAGGCTATTTTATAACCAAGGGGTCAGCTAATGGGAATGTTTAGCAGGCCTGATCCTTAATCAGTTGTTTGGGAACAGTACTTTAATATTGGGTCTTATTTTTTCAGATTTGGCCTAGTTCGTGAAGGAAACAAGATTTTCAGGTTGGATCTTTGCTTGTAAATAATTGTAAATATAGAATTTTATATTTTTTTGTGCATGAAGAAATACTGAACCAGCTCATATTTTATTTACTGTGGTGTTGATTTTATAGAGAATTGTGTTTTCCATAGTGTACAGCTTTTTTTATTTATTCCCCCCCTCAAATGTGACCAATTTTTGCTGCGCAGTAAGTTTTCGAGTTGCGGGATCGAGTAGTGGATGACGGTCATGGAGGGTTGAGAAGATTGATGCAAATTAGTTCATCTTTCTGTGAAAAAGTAAACCGACAAAAAGATCCCTATTCTCTCTCCCCCCCCCCCCCCCACATGGGACCAATTTTTACTTTGCCAT